CTGACAGGTGTGATGTGGTATCTCATTGTGATTTTGACTTGTGTTTCCCTGATTAGTGATGTTGAGTACCTTTCATGTATTTTGTCCATCTGTTTGTCTTCTTTGGAAAAATGTCATGAAATTTTCCTGACGTGTTTTCTTCTAAGAGTTATATTTTCAGGTCTTATATTTGGGTCTTTGATCCATTTTGAGTTAATGTTTGTATATGCTCTCAAGTAAAGGTCCATCTTTAACCATTTGCATGTGGATATCTAATTTTCTCAGCACCACTTGTTGAAAAGTCTTTCCCTATTGTATGATCTTGGCATCCTTGTAGAAAAATCATGTAACGGCTTATTTCTGGGCTTTCTATTCTATCCCATTGGCCTATATGTCTGTCTTTCTGCCAGTGCTACACTGTTATGATTACTGTAGCTTTGTAGTAAGTTTTATATCAAGAAGTGTGAGACCTCCATCTTTGTTTTTCTTTTTCAAGATTGTTTTGGCTATTTGGGGTCTCTTATTCCTGATCTTAGAGGAAAAGCTTTCAGTCTTTCATCATCAAACCTAAAAGCTGTGGACTTTTCATATATGACCTTTATTACATTGAGATAATTTCCTTTTATTCCTAGTTTGTTGAATGTGTTTATTATCAAAGGATGTTGAATTTTGACAAAGACTTTTTCTGCATCAATTGAGATGATTGTGCATTGTTTTTTTCTTCGTTCTGTTTAAGTGGTGTATTACATTGATTGATTTTTGTATGTTAAACCATTCTTGCATTCCAGGAATAAATCCCATTTGTTTATTGTGTGTAATACTTTTAATGTACTCTTGAATTCTGTTTGTTACTATTTTGTTGAGAATTTTTGCACTGATATTCATCAGGGATATTGTTCTCTAGTTTTCTGGTAGTGTCTTTGTCTAGTTTTGATATCAAGGTAATAATGTTGGCCACATAGAATTTGGAAGTATTTCCTCTTCTTCAATATTTAGAAGAGCTTGAGGAGCATTGATGTTAATTCTTCTTTAAATGTTCAATAGAATTCACCAGTGAAACTATGTGGTCCTAAGCTTTTCTTTGTTGGATGAAAAAAAATAAGGTTTTTATATCACCTTTTAAATTTATTCATACAACCCCATTCAAATTTTACTACTTGTCCTGCAATTTTATTTTCCTGTATGGTTTAGGAACCAATCCAAAATCATTGATTAGTTTTCATTTTCATGTCTCTGTAGTCTCCATGTATCTCTAAGAGTTCCTCTGACTTTATCTTTCATGGCCATACCAATTTAAAGAGTAAAGATTTTTATTCTGTAAGATGTCCTTTAACCTGGGTATGTTCTATAGTTCCTCATGTCGAGACTCTGGTCAAATATTCTTGTAAGGAATACTTAAGAAATGCATGATTATCAGGAGGCACATGATGTTGACTTATTTCACTACCCGTCACGTTGGTGTTTGTTGCATAGACTATTTGTCTCTAGAAGGGCAAATTGGTCATGAAGCTGTCATCAGTTTACCACGTTCTCAGAATTTTGTACTTTAGATGTCCTACTTTAGGGTCATTAGGAATTTTAATCTTTATTTTAAAAATAATGAGGAGACATGAAAAATTTTTGTATATGCTGTGAGATAAAGATTAAGGTTGTTTGTGGTATCTAATTCAGATTTAATGCCTCTTAATTTTACTTTAAGTTTTACTCTGAAGTTTATAGTTTGTGTATTTATCACAGTCCGACTTTTGGTAGTGTTATATTCACGCACAATGTAAGAACCTTTTAACAGTATATTTCTATTTTCCAGTTATACTTCATTTGTGTTATTTTTGCCATACATTTTACACATGTATATTAGACTGTAGACTGTTCTTTAAAAAAATGTATTCCTTCATGTATTCTTAAACAGTTTTCTTCTACATATGTTTTTATGGTTGAATTTTCATAACAAACTTCTCTTTCCCAATTTTTGTGCTAGTAAAAGTAAACTTCTGTCCTTTTTTTTGCAACTAAAATAAATTTAGGTGTAGGTTCCAATTAGTAAAGTTTAGCAATATTTTCCAAATTTTCATATTTGAAAATAATTTTTCACAGATGTTGGACCTTTATACAAATATGCATCAAATTTGAATTTTCTGAATTTTAAGTCTTTGAAATTGAAAAGTATGTTTTTGGGTCTTTCAATTAGGTTATTTATTTATTTATTAAATTTTTTAAATTTATCTTTATTGTTGAAAGTATTACAGGTGTCCCATTTTCCCCCCTATTGACCCATTCCACCATGCTCCCACCCCCTCCTCAGGCCTTCACCCCATTATTGTCTGTGTCCATGGGTTATGCATATATCCATATAACTTCTCTGGTTAATCTCTCCTCCCTTCCCTCTTCCCTCTGAGATATGACTGTCTGTTGCATGCTTCAGTGTCTCTGGGTCTATTTTGTCAGATTATTTTGTTCTTTAGCTTCTTCTTAAAGAAGACCCTTCAACATTTCATGTAATACTGGTTTGGTGGTGATGAAACTCCTTTAGCTTTTACTTATCTGTGAAGTTCCTTATCCGACCTTCAGTTCTAAATGATAGCTTTGCTGGGTTGATTAATCTTGGATGTAGGTTCTTGATTTTCATCACTTTGAATATTTCTTGCGCCTTCCGTCCTGCAAGGTTTCTGTTGAGAAATCAGCTGACAGTCGAATGGGTGCTCCCTTGTAGGTAACTAACTAATTGCTTTTCTCTTACTGCTTTTAGAATTCTCTCTTTGTCTTTAACCTTTGGCATTTTAATTATGATGTGTCTTGCTGTGGCCTCTTTGGGTTCCTCTTGTTTGGGACTGTCTGTCGTTCCTGGACTTGTAAGTCTATTTCTGTACCCAGATAGGGGAAATTTCCTGTCATTATTTTTTCAGATAGGTTTTCTTGCTCTCTTTCTTCTCCTTCTGGCACCCCAATAATATGAATGTTGGGCCCCTTGAAGTTGTCCCAGAGACTCTGTACACTATCTTCATATTTCAGAATTCTTTATTCTTTTTGCTCTTCTGGTAGGGTGTTGTTTCCTCATGTTCCAAGTTGCTGATTTGATTCTCAGCGTCCTCTACTCTACTGCTGATTCCCTGTAAATTATTCTTCATTTCAGTTCGTGTATCCTTCATTTCTGATTAGTACTTTATTATGTCATTGATGGTCTCACTTGTTTTCATAATAGTCTTACTAATATACTTGAGCATCCTTATAACCATAATTCTGAACTCTGTATCTAGTAGCTTTCTTGGTTCTATTTCATTTAGTTCTTTTTCTGGAGTTTTCTTCTGTTCTTTCCTTTGTGACATGTTTCTTTGCCCCCACATTTTGGCTGCTTCCAGGCGTTTGTTTCTATGTATTAGGTAGAGCTGCTATATCTCCTGGAATTTGTAGAGTGGCTTTGTGTAGTAGGTGTCCTGTAGGGTCCAGTGGCTCAGCCTCCCATTCACCTGAGCTGGGCCTTCTAGGTGCTGCTCTGCGTGGGCTGTGTGCACTGTTTGGTTGTAGTTGAGCCTTGGTTGCTGTTGGCATCCCTGGGAGGAATTGACCCCCAGGCCCATCGGCTGTGAGGACCAGCTGCAACTACAGCCAAAGAGCTGCTGTGCTGGAGACACCCCTATGGAGCAGGATTTACTTCAGTGGAGCTTGGCGTTCGCCAAGTGCACCCCTTGAGTATGTCACTTGTGGATGTGGTAGGGTTGCAATGCAAAGTGGTCAAGTCTGACCACCAGGTGCACTGCCTCTGGGGCCTCCCGGGAGGTGCAAAGTCAGCCTCTGTCAGTGCCTTGCCCGGGGACACCCAACATGAGCTACACAGCAAACCGTAGTTGGCTGCTACTTGTGCCGGGCTTGGAGGAGCCCAGGAGAGTCCAAGCTATGAGCCAATGCAGGCTGCCACTAGTGCCAGGCCTGGGGCCGCTTATCAAGCTGGATGGGGCAGGCTGCTGCTTGTTTGAGAGATTTTAGGAAAGGCCTAAGCATGAGGCTAGAGAGACCACTTGCATAGAAAAGCCACTGGAAGTGGCTTGGACGAGCTTGCAGGTGGGGAGGGGCGGGGCCTCCGGGAATCACCGGGGTGGGGCCAAAGATGTGAGTCCGGTGCTGGCAATTCAAATATGGCACTGGCCTGCTGGCTTGGGGGGGGGGGGCTNCTGGGAGCAAGCTGCCCCTCCAGCTCTTTCCCTGATTCCAGGCAAGTTTGTTCCTCCCCGAATGTCCCAGGGTCATTTCAAGCTGCTGCCTGGCGATGGGGCTCAGAGGGAGCGCGTCTGAGTAAGTCCGTATGTTGGCCCTTTAAGTGGAGAGTATGGTACTCCCGCAGCCTCCTTGTCCCTCTGTCACAATCCCTGCTGGTTTTCACAGTCGGAAGTTATGGGGACTTCTCTTCCTGGTATTGGAACCCTGGGCTGGGGGCCTGCTGTGGGGCTAGGACCCCTCGCTCCTCTGGGAATCCTCCACCACTGATATATCCCTCCAGGTAAACCGTGGGACTGGGGCCATGCCGCAGTTCAGCCTGGATTCCGCCCTGTGTCTCTGTCCTTCCCACCCGTCTGGGTGCTTCTTCAGTTCCCTAGTTGTGGGCTTCTGTTCAGCCAAATTCAGGAGGCTTGAGTGATGGTTGTTCTTTATTTTAGTTGTAATTTTGATGTGGTTGTGGGAGGCGGCGGGTACCGCTGTTACCTATGCCGCCATCTTGTTCCTACCTAGGTTCTTTATTTTTACTTTTTTGGGTATTTATTTAAAATATTTTTCTTGCCCGGCCGGGCTTGGCTCAGAGGTTGAACATCGACCTAGGATCCAGGTGATCGGGGTTCAATTCCCAGTCAGGGCACATGCCCGGGTTGCGGGCTCAATCCCCAGTCAGGGGTGTGCAGGAGGCAGCCAATCAATGACTCTCTCATCATTGATGTTTCTCTCTCTCTTTCTCCCTCTTCTTTTCTCTCTCTGAAACCAATAAAGATATATTTAAAAAAATATATATATTTTTTTCTTTTTTTTCCTCCCAGAAACTCATTTTCATCCTGTGGATTTCATCTTAACTCCAACGTGATGTCTGGTTCTAATGGTGTCAAAGGGAATTCCCACAACAAGGCTCGGACATCTCCTTACCCAGGTTCAAAAGTTCAGCGCAGCCAGGTTCCTAATGAGAAAGTAGGCTGGCTTGTTGAGTGGCAAGACTATAATCCTGTGGAATACACTGCAGTTTCTGTCTTGGCTGGACCTAGGTGGGCAGATCCTCAGATCAGGTGAGCAAATTAGCTGGCATTAGCCGGGTGTAAGGTTTTTAGAGAAAATAATGGTTGCATTTGTAAATAATTATTTTGATAGCTGAACTATTTTTATTTAGTGCTTGATTTTGTTATAACTTGTTTTCCACATTGCTTGAATTCTTGCCAAAACTAGATAGTCTATGTTCATTTATTTTTGGGGAGATTTTACGATGATCATTCTAAATGTGTATATCTATTTTGCTACAGAGTATTTTGTTGTATGAAATGACAAGTATCTATTTTCATTTTTTCTGTCTGGGTTATCAATAGAACATCTTTTGTGGTTGTTTTCCAACAGAGCTAGACTTGTATTTGAAGTAATGAAAATGTTTTTCAGAAATATTTTCCAAATTATTAAGAAAATATATTCCAAATGATAAAAGTAGAGCAGTGTGAAGAAAAGAAAAGGAATCAATAAAGGAGAGACAGAAAGAGGAAAACAAAAAAATCAAGCAAAAAATGCTTTGCCTAAAGTCATTAAAGTGCTACATTGACTCATATTTTATATTTATATTCCTTTTAATAAATACAATGTTTTTTTTTAATATACTGCCTATGAGGTAGGCACTGTACTAAATGTTTTATAAACATTATTTTTATTTTATTCTTATAAGTATTCTGGAAGGCAACAGGGTTGTTATTTCTACTTTATAGAAAAACAAACTACTCTGCTAAACTTCCTAGTTTTAGAATCCTTTTATACATTTGATTTAATCGATGAATTTATTGTAAATCATAGTCCTCTGAAGGCATCATTTAGTCAGTTAAGTAAAAATTGCTGGTTGGATAGATCCCGTATTATTTCATTAGGTTGTTAAACTTTACCACTGACTTATTGCTGTCATTTGATTTTGACGCGCAGTTTTTTTATTTTATCCAAAGATGTGGTTGTAACTTTGTGATAGTATTTGGATTATGAATTAGTCATGAAGCTCACCTGTGGAGAAATTATTAGCTTTAAATAAGTTCCATTTCCCTGATTTTAGAGGATGAATATATTTACATATGCATTATAAATACCTATTATGCACAATTAAAATTAATGACATTGGCAGGGGTGCTATATAATGTAAATAGAAAAATCAAATACATTTTCTTATTCTTCAGCCAGTTTTTTAACAGTTGAATATATATCACCATCTAAATCAAGCTTTATTACTAACATTAATGGTTTAATTGTAATTAAGTTTGTGATTTTTAATTTTAATGGTTAATTTCTGGAGACCCAAGAGCATTATAATTCTGGTTTTATAATTTCATAATTTTAACACTTAATTCTTTTTATTTGTGGGTTAGATGGAAGATTAGTTAGAAGTCTTGAGAGAATGTGTGTATTATTTAAATTGGAAATTATTCCCAAAACAGAGCACAAATATTTCTGTGCTCACTTACTGGAATTAAAGGAAGGAAAAAGTGAAACTTATGTCAGAATTGTCCAGGAACTATCCAGTGCTATACAACTTTTTATTCACTGACATGCAGTTATGTCAGTGATTTCATAATGGTAAGGAAAGTAGTTTACTTATGTTTTTAAAATGTTCTTGTTGAGATCTGACATTAATGCAGTAAAGTGCACACTTCTTAAGCGTGCAGGTGAAGCTCAGTCAAATTTTATGTTTATATAGTTCTGTAACTAATACCCAAATTAAGATCTAGAACATTTTCAGCATATCTATTTTAATTTACATCATGTTTATTATGAAGCTTGTGGGATGAATTCACTGTTTTGTAGGTTTCCTTTGATAAAAATTATAGTCTGTACATTTGAAAAAATTAAAATTACTTTGAGACAATAGAGATATCAGAAGGAATCTTACTTTTGGAACTGCGTAGGAACCAATAATTGCCATAATTTGCACACAGACAATTCCTTCTTGCTAACAGTAATGTAGACTTTTTGTAGCATGTGGGAGGAAGTCCATTTCTTCTGCCATTAGTCCTTCCCAGAGGGATTATGATACATATCCTTGTATTATAACGTGCTTTGGTTAACAGATTTTTTTTCTCAGAAACTGATTTGAAGGAGTAAGATGGATTTGTAAGTGAAAAATAAGCCTTAAAATTTTAGTTTCAGGGATACTACTTATTGTAAATAACAGGTTGACTGGCATTATTAAGTTGTTGGTAGTATTGGACCATTATTTCTTATTTTGCATTGGTATTCTCATTACAGTGAAAGTAACTTTTCTCCCAAGTTTAATGAAAAAGACGGGCATGTTGAGAGAAAGAGCCAGAATGGCCGGTATGAGATTGAAAACGGAAGACCTAGGTAGGTGCTGGGAGTGGAACATTTTACAGTAGTGAATCTTCAAAACGTAGAAAGTATAATTAACGTTTATCAAGTGCTTGTGTGTGCCAGACATTGTACAAAATAATTTACATATGTGATCTAATTAAATCGTCACAATAACTCTGTAGGTGGATATTTCTAGTTCCATTTACAGATAAAGAGAGAGAATGTAAGCAATTTGCATATCTATAGTTCATAAGCAGCAGAGGCAGGATTTGAATGCGTCCTTTTGTAACTCAACCTTGAAGTTACAAATAATTAATTGAATAAATTAACAGAGAAAGGATTAAAAATTGTATATTAAGTAGTTATTTATTAAATGTGATAATGCCTTAAAGTAAGAATTATCCAAACATAAGAGTAAAAGTAAAAATAACCAAATAATGTAATACCAAGAATATTTGTATACTTTTAAAATTGATTTTTCTACACAACTCCAAAATTTTCCATTATAAAAGTTTAGAAGAAATGTAGAAATTAGCATGTCCCGAATAAAACAGGAAGGCTCACAGATTTGTAATCATGGCTCTTCTTGTAAAGCGTTGCAGTTTGTGTTCTTTGTTCCTCATGACAAGGAAATTGATAAGAGCTCCTTTTGCTGCAATCTGGCCCTTCAGTTTTGCTAAATTCTTTCTTTAGTCGTAACTTACCTTTCTGTGTTATTGGATCTTTTTAAGTCAAACTGTCCTTGTATTTGACATTCCTTAGGTTCTTTACTTGGTAAAATATATTAAAAGATAAGTACACATACAAAAGGCTAAGCAGCAAAGGCAAGATCGCATGTTCCCTTAGTCTAGACTCTTGGACAAATAGAAGCCGGCTCCAGCTTGCCTAGAGCAACAGTGAGATTTATCTTTACTGTAGGGCTATAGGATCATCTCAAGCAGAAATTCAGCTAACTTTAGGAAAGGGTGAAATTGGAAATCCATCAGGACTGCCTCTCTGCCTCATCTCTGCTTTTCTTTATATGTTGCCTTCATTTCTCCTCTGCAAACAACTTTCTCTGCTTCTCAGGCTATACAGTAGCCTGTATGTCTTTCCCAAAACTTCTAATTTACAAGTTACATGCATAGTCATCTCTAAAACTAACATTCTCAAGAAATAATGTTAAATAGGTTAAGATTGCAGATTGGGGCATTTCATTGATACATAATGGTGAAAATTGAACACTTAAGGAATATTGATTGGAAGAAAAACGCTCCTGCATGAGTCTTGTTATGTTTATTTGACAGACTTTGTAATATTGGGTTGGCATTAGGTTAAATGGTAAATTGGCATTTTTACAAAATTTTCTTCTTTAAAATTGTTTTCTTTAAAAATTGAATACTTGAAACACTTGAAATCTTGAAATGTTAAGTAATATTACTACCTTATATGCTACAAAATATATATTACTGATAATAAAAATTCAGAACCCACTAAGGAAAAGTGGACTTCAATATGTAACAAAAAAAAAATTTTTAATAGAAAGGGTTGTAGGAGAGTAGAGTAGAGAGAGGCTGATGAGAGAGTGCAGAGGAGGGGAGTGCCCTGAATAAAGTGTCACTGTTTCAGAGAGAGATGAGTAGGTGCAGAGCCTTTCATCCTACAAGATTTAAGAGTCCAGCAAGGTTTCACTTTGAACTTAGGAGCACAGGTGAAAACAAACAAATTCTTATATTGTAGAGCAGCTTTGGAAATGATCCTGCTCCTGGATCAAGCCCCGATCTGAAGACATGCACAAAAGAAAAGTTAAATAAAAACAAGGCAGTGTGTGCTTTCAGTGCTAGTTATGATAGTGCTACTGGACTTGGGTGGGTGGAGATACTGTATTCTTCTTATTGCTCTTACTACCCTTTATTGGGCCATATCAAGTTAGGTTAAAAAAGATGAACCCATTCAGTTGATTTTGTTTTTCCCCCCAGAAATCCTGCGGGACGGACAGGTTTGGTTGGCAGAGGGCTTTTGGGGCGATGGGGCCCAAATCATGCCGCAGATCCCATCATAACCAGGTAAGAGCTAAAAAAAATTTCAGTGGCAGGGAGCTCAGTGATTGGAAAAATACAGACTATAATGACTGTAACCACGTGTTTACATATACTTATATAGATATGCACGTATGTATATACAGGATATCCCCAAAAAAGGTATACACACTATGTCCTTAGGTTCTATTGCATTTTGAAAATGAAGTGTATTTTAATAAACACTGCCTATATAATTATTCAAAGTGTGTATACATTTTTGGGGGATACCCTGTATTATGTGTTTGTATATATACAAATGTTTATATACATGTATTTATATAGACACATACAAACATGTATATATACATAAGTACACATACAAAATCTATCTATTAAAAAGGACTATGTAAAATTATAGTGATGTGATCTTAGTGTGAAGCTATAGTTCTTTATTGTATAAGCAGGTTAGGCATTATCTAACCAAAGTTAATTTACCAGATACTTATTGAGCATCTATATGTTCTCAGAATTGATTAGGAGCTTTGGAGGATATAAACAAGTATAACAGTTCTAAGTTTTAGCCCTGTCATTGAAGAACTATGGCTTCATTTGCAAGATGGAACATAAGAAATAAGACATGTCAACGTAACGTGGGTGATGCAGGGTGCTTTAGAGAATGAGAAGATTGGATGTGGGCATGATGATGGTAAACTGGCACACCCAAGAAAGGTGTCGTGAAGGAGGTGGATTGGAGCTGAACTTGAGGTGTGGGTGGGGGACAGGAGGAAGCCTAAGAAAAAAAGCCTCGTAGTAACACATTCCTGTTTGAGTATTGAGGGATGATGAACAGGTCAGCGTGGTTACACCCTTGTAGGAGACTAGTGGGTGGTAAATGAGCTTTAAGTTAATTTTTATACAATTCTGTTGTGGAGAATATTAAATGCCAAAGTGAAGAAGTGTGAACTGGAGACATTGAAGGTTTCAGAACAGGGAAAAGGCACACTTTCTGAGGCAGATCCACCTGGTAGGCCAAAATCATATTCTGAAGGTCCCCTGGTAAGCGAAAATCAGAATAAAAAAGATGGGTGAATCTCAAGTTTAGATTGACTTAGCGTAAATCTCCATAGAAACCATGTTTCTAACACATCTGAAATTTTCTGTCATTTCTGTCATACTTTCAATTATTTTTAGGATTTTTTCACTGACCAACTCCCTTTATCACATGTAATTGTTATTTTTCTTCTTTAGATAATGCATATGACCTAAATATCCTTACTTTTTTAGTTTTGATATTTTAAGAGCCTTTCTTTCTTCCTGGAGACTTTGTTTTTCTCTGATCTGAGTTATAATAATGATTTCATATTGTAACTCTAGGAAAGCAGCCTATTTTTCTTATTTCCATGTTACTGGAAGAGGTACCAATACTCACCCCATCTGATTCTTTTACTTGCTCTTTCAGTTCCTCTTTCAAAAGGGATCTTTACTCTTAACCCTTTACATCCCACCTCAGTTTTATCTTCCATCTATCCATTTATCTATCTTCTATTCACCCATTTATTCATCCATCCATCCACTTACCCACCCACTCATCTATCTACCTAACCTATCTACGATCAACATACCTATCTATCCACCTAAATTCCTTTAGAAACTTTATGGGTTAAATGAGATGGGAAGAGTTAATATATTCTTATTAATGAATATAAGTAAAATAATGTAAGTAAATACTAATGGCAGTATCAGTTTCTTTCTAATTTTGGTGAGGCTTGCTAAAAGCAGGAAGATGTGAAGCATTTAAAGGAGGAATGCTAGTAAGGGGACACGAAGCAGCAAGGGAAGTCAGAGACTTGAAAGATAGTCTCTAATTAGCTTATCTTTATCTGTGGTAAACCAAATAATGGCTCTAATTAAACATGGTGATTGTATGTCATGTTTTTGAAATGCAGACTTTTGAGCATAACTCTGTCATTATACAGGTAAGAGAACTGAAGCCTTAGATCGTCCAGGCTACAAAAGAGCTCACAAGTGGTGGAGCCTAGCTTTCAGCCGTACTCCTAGGTTGATGTTCTTTGCTGTGTCAGTAATGCGTATGTTAAATGACGAATTCCTCTAAATAGAGGAGTGATTGTGGCAAAGGAAGGAAACAAAGAATGAAAGATGTTGAAGAATCAACAAGACTAAACAAATGATTAAAAAATATAGCTCTGCTCCAGGCATTTTGCTAGGTGCTCTTATTAGTTTTTACATTTTTTCCTCACAAAACTCCTCAAAGTAGGTATTGACATATCTGTTTTGTAGACCTGAATGGAGACTCACTGAGGTTAAGTGACTTGCCTAAATCTTGTAGATCTGAAATTTGAATCAGAGGTATTTGGCTGTAAATATTGTGCTTTCTCTCTTTTTTTTAATCCTCACCTGAGGATATGTTTTTTTAAATTGATTTTTTTAGAGAGGGGAAGGGGGGGCAGAGAGAGAGAAAGAAAGAGAGAAACATGAATTGCCTCCCATAAGGGCCCCTACCAGGGATTGAACCTGCAACCTAGGTATGCGCCTTGACCAGAAATCGAACCCACAGCCTTTTGGTATACAGGACAATGTTCCAACTAACTGAGCCACCCAGCCAGGGCTACATTCAGTTTCTTAAACACATTTTTTTCCAGTGAAAGATATTGTAAACAATTTTCTCAAAAAGCAAGACTAGGAACTCTGTTCCTTTAACACATCACTTTATTTTACAACTTTGTTTCTTGCTTCTGATTTTTCTGTCTGGCATCCTTAAAAACAGATGTTGTCTTCTTGTACCAATTTTTCTTTCATTTCTAGTTATTGTCCTTATCAAACTGTGACTGTGGCTTATAATCTGTTCACTTACATCCCTGGCTCCATTGCCAGACTATCAGCTCTTCCATGGGAGGAATTATGGGTTAGATATGGTAGTCAGCCACTATATAAAGAAATTTGGAAACTCATATCTAAACTAGTTTATTTCATTGAATCTCCTGCAGAACAATAATTAGACCATAGGCTTTCTTTTTTAGTTTAATATTAGAAGTTCAAAATCTTTATCTTTGCCTAAGAGAGTTATTAGAACAATTCTTGAAATTGGGTGGAGGGAGTTAAATGTGGTGGGGGTAGGGGAGGGGAAGGGGAGATTTATCAACATCTCTGGGAAAGAGGCTGTAGTTAGAAAAAGTGCATTCTGAAGTTAACATAGCTTTGATACTTTTTTAAAAACATGCAATTCAGTTCAAATTTAAATTTAAACTAAGGGTAGGGTGAGATTTTTTTTTAATTAAAAAGAGGCATAAAGATTGAGAAGTTGCCTAGCCAGCGAGGCTCAGTGCTTGAGCGAAGACCTATGATCCGGGAGATGGAGGTTCAATTCCCAGTCAGGGCACAGTTAGGGTTTCCGGCTTGATCCCCAGTAGTGGGTGTGCAGCAGGCAGCCAATCAATGACTCTCTCATCATTGATGTTTTTTTCTCTCTCCCTCTCCTTTCCTCTCTCTGAAATCAATAAAAATATATTTAAAAAGATTAAGAAGCACTACTTTTGAGAACAGCTGAACCTGTGTCATATGCTCTGCTTTTCTGAACTATGAAAAGCAAATATCACCAGATCTTTTACACTACCTGTAATTCTTGAAAAGGATCTATGGACTTAAAAAACAAAGCTTTTATGACCCTCTCTTTAAATTCTGTTGTGCTTTTAAAGTTCTTTTTTTTGGTTGTATTTTAAAACTGTAAAAACTTTATATTCTGAATTTTTATTATGGAGAATACAATATCTTTTATGGAAAGTAGACATATTTCTAATACAAAATACTTTTTGGTAAAGGAAGCTGAAATAGGTAAATTTATGTGTACTCTGTTATAAAGAGAAATACATCTTTATAACTTTGACTCAAGCTTAGATAGAACCTTGGTCTTTGTTCTAAATTGGTTATGATCTTACATTACTATTTACAGATGGAAAAGGGATAGAAGTGGAAATAAAATCACCCACCCCATTTCTGGGAAAAACATCTTACAGTTTGTTGCAATCAAAAGGAAAGACTGCGGAGAATGGGCAATCCCAGGGGTGAGCATTAAAATTAAATCAAATTAATGTTTTAAGTTCTTTTTAGTTTTAGTTGCTTTATTTACCAAAAGATTATTGTGTGTGGATCTTTTCTACTCCATCTACCCTCCATTCCTCACCACTTCAATAAGTAATTATTTTGTCATTCATCACTGAAATGAAGTGTCATTGTCAATAACAACTGTAGGATAATACAACAAGGTTGTTAGAGTCTGAGTCTGAATCTGAAACCCTTGGGAAAGAACATGGACTTTGGAGTTAGACAGAGGCGCATGTCCTGGCCTTTCCACTTTGAGCTGAGTGATTCAGAGTTCTGACCCTCATCTTTACAATAAAGATGATCATATCTACTTCATAGGATTACTAGAGATAGCATGCAAGCATTGGTGTAAAGTAGGTATTCATTAATGTTGGGTCCCAGCTCAGAAATCAGCCCCTACTCCAAGCCCAAGGTAAGATTTTTAGCATTTTTGTTGTTGAATTCTGATAACTTTAGACATAATAAAAAAGATAACTTACTATTTCTTGTAGTTTTAAAAATTTCCATAATATCAGGAAGAGTGTACTTTTGGTGACTTGATGTCACTGGTATATTTTAAATGGCTTTTAAAAAAAATGTATGTGTGTGGCAGAGGGTTTTATATTTAATGCCATAATGTGAAATGGAGATAGTCTGACAAGAGGTTGACTTTTTATACAGATACCACTATCTGCAAGAATGGTTTTTTCTTTATAAGATAAAAATGGAATGGAAATGAATATCTCAGCTGACTATGATAAAAGCTTAGGCTACTTATTACAAGCCAAGTAGTCAAACTTCACTCAATGCTGAGTGCAAAACGCAATAGTGATTTTATCATAGGAGTTTATATTTTTATTGTCATTTGAAATTCTGATCAGTCAGGGAACTGTTATCACTGATATCATTTTGAGAGTCATTCATCAGTATATTTTGTCAGCCACTAATTTAGACGTTGAGGATCCAACAGAGCAACATGAACCAACATCCCTGTCCTCTTGGTGCTCACACTTCATGGGGGGAGAGAGATAATATAAGATAAATAATTGTATGCTAGAAGGTTATATGTATTAAGGAAGGGGACCAGGAAGTGTTGGGGAGTTTGCCACTTTAGACAGGGTGGTTAGAGAAGGCCTCCCTGAGAAGGTAACATTTGAGTAAAGATCTGAAGGTGGTAAATGAGTGAGTTATGTGGATGTCTGGAGAAAAAGCATCTTGACCAGAAGTAATAGAGCAGGTGCAAAGGCCCTAAAGTGGGAGTATGTCTGGCACATCTTAGGAACATTGAGGTCAGTGTGGGTGTACTTGAATGAGCAATGGGGAAAGTATCAACTTTCTCTTTTCACTCTTGCCTCCAGGCCTTCCTTCCTTAGCTGGAAAGGAGTCTCATTGGCTCAGTTTACCATAGGCTATCCTTGGACCAATTACTATGGTCAAATATATATGAGGTACCCTGATTGGCTGCTTCTACTAGGCACAAATGGTTTAGGAAAGAGTATATGACAGAGGAATAGGGTTCCTGATTATGGGCAGATAAAAGATAAATGTCCACTGCGTCACTCAGTAAATATTTGTTGAATGAATTAAAGCTTATTTCTTTTTTTGTAAACAAAAATGTGCCTCTCAGGGGATGGTGGATCCAGGAGAGAAGATTAGTGCTACACTGAAAAGAGAATTTGGTGAGGAAGCTCTCAACTCCTTACAGAAATCCAGTGCTGAAAAAAGAAAATTAGAGGAACAGTTACATAAACTCTTCAGCCAGGAACATCTAGTGGTAAGAAATGGTGGTTCCTAGGAAAGATTTGGTCCTGTGCATTAGTGAGAATTACTTATAGTTCACCTGGAAATCTGGTAGATCATTCTCTATTTTCTGAATAAAGTGAACTACTTGTATATTTGTAATGCGTATTCATAAAAACAACTTAAATTGCAGTAGATCTTCACCGTAAATAGGTTTCTACTTAGTTTTATAGCCCAACTTTACTTCATTTGCATCATTTATTATAATACATTTTTTTCTCTTAGGCTTTCTTTAGACTGGGTGTGAGCTAATGTAACACCGAGCTCACCCATCCAATAGAAAACATTAAAAATTTTTTCTGCATGAATTCAGCTCTTTTGAAAGGACATTTACATTTGAAATTATGTTATTCAGAGTTTCTCTGGTTTATAACCATTTAAGTCCCATTTTTGTTTTGTCTACATAGCCTTTGTAAAGATTTTAAAAATCACCTTGAAAAGCATATGCACACTAATAATAAGGAAAAGGACCTATTTCCTAATTTTTTTTAGTTGGCTTTTGTTTGGATTGCTTTGTTTTCTTTCTAGAATTGTGATTTCTTAATTATCTGTATTGTCCAGTTTTTTTGTTCACATTTTGTTAAATAGCTGGATCCAATCTTTTCATGTATTAATAGCTTAAATATTAGTCTTTACTAATATTTAACTTTGTAGATCTCGTTTAACTAGAAGAATCTGTCTTTGTATGTCTGAAATGATAATCACAGAAATTATTAAAGCAGAAGAATACTTAAATTATAAAGACTTTAAAGAAACCATATGGCTCAAATATTATTGTTACTAAATTCTGGAATTAGAATCTGAGGTATTGAGGGTTTTGTGAATTTTAAAGCTCCCTCAAAGGTTTTTGAGAATATTGTTCCCTGTGAAATTTAAAATAAGCATAAGGAATGCTATGTTAAAGGTTTTATGGTATTTATATTTCTCTTTTTATTGTGGTAAAAAACACTTAACATATAATTTATCATCTTAACTGTTTTAAGTGAACAGTTAAGTTAATTATATGCACACTTCTTTGGAGCAGAGTATTTACATTGCTGATTTTATGAAGGTAACATGCTTTTGCTCTACCCATTCCTGTTTCACCCTTCACTGATTTTTTTGTCTGCCTCCTTTTAAAAATAGATATATAAAGGATATGTTGATGATCCTCGAAACACTGATAATGCATGGATGGAGACAGAAGCTGTGAACTACCATGATGAAACAGGTAATTTTACTTATGTTTTTTAAACTGACTGGGTTAGAGGATCAGTTTAAGTTTAGCAGTCTGCTAGGGCACAATTAAGTCTGGACTATTTTAGCATCTTAAGCCAGTTAAATACTGATTATAGGATTATATTTATATGAACCAAAATTAAAAAAATACATAGAAGAAAGCCTTAAAAGTGTTACAGTATCTAATTTTCTTTAATCCATTGGTAGTATATAAAATTAAGATTGAATTTATGGACTAAAATTATGTGCCTTAAAATTGTCAAATTGTATAAGTCCATATGTATAAAATAAAAACAAAAGCAACTGGAGATTTGGGTAGGAAGTGTGGCTAGAATGAAAAAAAAGGATTTATATCTGTCTTACTGTTTGAAATAATTTTATAACATGCATGTGTCAACGTAATAAACATTCAAACCTATAGAGAATTTTTGTAAGTTCATTTGAGCCAAACTGATGACAATTTCCGGGAAGCAAAACCTCAATGAATGGAGGAAATGCTCCAGAAAAATGTCAGTTTTGGACCTTGTTTTATACATTACTGTCAAAAGAGGAGGCTTCAGGGGTTACATGAAATCTGTTGGTGACAGATTAGGGAGGCAGGGAAAAGCAAAGTGAGGGGAGGGGGGAAACTTCTGGGATTGGATAAAAAGTAAAGTGATAGACACATACTTCTTTTACATAGGTGGGTACAGGATAGCTAACAGCCAACAATTACCATGATAACAATAACAGTGAGGGGATTTGTGGTCTCTGCTCTGTGGTGCCTACGCTTTGAGGGGTCCAGGAAAAGGAATTTACTGTGACATTCCAAAGGTATATTACTGTAGATGCAAAAAAGACAGTAGACAGGCTCAGTTGAGGTGAAGATTGACTTTTGTCAGGGAAGATTTTAGCCTAGGACATGACTACCCACCATAAACTGCTTTTAGTTAAAAAGTTTTAATTTCAGACCATCCTGTGTGGTTACTTTTGGCCTCTGAGTTTGTAAGGCTGCCACCCAGGCCTAGGCCTCCTTGGGCTTGTCAGGTTTAGTGTGTGACCCCTTTTTGTCCGCACATGCATTATTAAAACAAAACAATACCAAAAACACTCCAGATATTAAAAAAATTTAAAGTGAATGCTTTTTCTGGTCTATGGGTTTAAAAATTTGCAGGGATTGGGGAAATAAAATCTGTTATAAAAAGAGAGGGGACATCTATCTTAAAAAATTATTATTGCCTGGCTGGGCATGGCTCAGTGGTTGAGCATTAACCTAGGATCCAGGAGACCGTGGTTCGATTCCCGGTCAGGGCACATGGGTTGCGGGCTCCATCCCCAGTTGGGGGCGTGCAGGAGGCAGCTGATCAGTGACGCCTCTCTCATCATTGGTGTTTCAGCTCTCTCCTTCTCTCTTTCTCTCTCTGAAGTCAATGGGGATGTATTGGGGGAAAAAATTATGATCTTTATATATTGAATGGCCTTTTTTTTTTTTTTTTTTTTTCTTT